AAGAGTCCGCTGGGAAGCTGCGGGGTTTCTCAGAAAAATGGTTTTGGTTTGTTGACCTTTGTCGTGGGCTACTACGCCCCGTTAAGTGCAGCGGCGGCTGGTTACTCGCTCATCTATCTCAAGCTGTTGGTGAACAGACGGAAACGGAACAAGGCCGTTGGAGAGATCGTACACGAGGGGCAGGGCGGCCTGGAACGGAAGCGGGTAGTCAAGACGAACATGGTGTTTACGGCGTTTCTGTGGAATAGCGTGTGTTATTTGGTTTGGCCAATGATGTTGACCTTGTCGCCCGAGCTGCAGCGACAGCGTCCGTTGACAGCGTTGTGGCTGGGATTGCTGCAAATGGTTGGCTATGTTACAAGCCCGGTATGATAATTAAAGTAATTGTAGTTCACCTGAGGTTTGTTTGGTTTTTTTAAGTAGGAATTTTTTTACATATATTTTTTTACATATTTACAATATATCACAAACATTTTATCCATTTATTTAAAGCATTTGCTAGCTGTATTTACTTAAAGAAACAAGCAAACAAGCAAAACAAGTAAGCATTTTTCGCCTTTCTATAGCGTTTTTATATTATAGGATACTTTATGATCAGGTAAACTGTGGTCAGCAGCATTTGTTGCTATTCCTTAAGATGACGGCCGTCTACATCTGGTAAATGCACAAAAAATTTTTTTAGTTGATTTTTTTCGCGATGAGCGTGGAATACCGATCCGAGTGCATTCGGATGTTCGAATTATTGGGAAGCAAGTGTTGCACCGGACGTAAGCGTGAGAAGACATCCTCAGTGCACAGTATGACCGTCACCGGTGGGAACAGTCGATCGCGGTGTACTGCCAGCAACATGAATAGATTTATCTAATATCAAATGATTTTTCTGTCCTGTTTGTTTACGTTGGGCAATAACTCTGATGCGGTGTGAGTAAAATCTGTTCAGAGCTCTTTGGTTCTGGAGTTAGATGTGGGCCGAGTAAGCCGTGCTGTTCTTTATCTGCAAAACTCATCTATGTTTCGTTGTTTTTTAATGCGCCGTTCGAAAGAGAATCTGGGATTTGCACAATGTGCAGCTCCTAAAATTTGCACTTACGCTCATGAAATTAGAAACAATCCAATAAAAATATCATTTTTATAATGCGTTGCGATAACCCTTCTTTCTTTGGAAACCGGCCCCTCCTCCAAAAAAAACATTCTTGAAACCGTTTTTTAAGGATTTAAGACAAATTACGTAGTACGGATTTTGTATAACAGCGTTTGCCACCGATGATGGACAGACGAAATTCCCTATGTTTCATGTCTTCATGAATTTAAGAAGCCGAAGAAACCAGTAACAATTGTGAGTGCGCAGTTAATCACACCTTTTGTCATACTCTTACATGCTGAATGGTAGTATCTGGCTTTGCAAGATGCACCTTTCAGTTTCCACAGCGGCAGCGCATTGCCTCGCTCGTTAAGGGATTTGGCCCGGTACACAGCATTAAATTCGTGTACATCAACGGGAATTTTCGCTGTCGCGCACTCCCAAACACTTCTTTCCATTGCTTTATGATATTTTATAGTCAAATGATTTGTATACAGAGGCGTAATGTCCGTTTTCGCGCACAACATCCGGTTCGGGAGTTATGGCTGTTTGAAAATTCCAAAAAGTTTAATGCATTCAGATGTACCAAAAGTCTCATTATGGACCGATCCCTTTCAAATTTTGTACGTAAATGCGCATAACTATGAAGATCGTTTTTGCACCGATCCACTGTTCTCGCATGTTTTTCAAATTTTAAAATGAATTTCAAAAATTTTAAAATTCATTTTAAAATTCTAAAAAAATCGTGGAAGTCTGGGTCCGTGTAAGAACGCTCTTCATGGTTATGTGCATTTGCGTGCAAAATTTGAAAGGGATCGGTCCATATTGAGACTTCTGGTACACCTGGATGCATTTAAACTTTTTGGAATTTTCTAACAGCCATAACTCCCGAACCGGATGTTGCGCGCGAAAACGGTTTCACGCCTCTGTATACAAATCATTTGGCTACATAATGTCAAAAAGCAATTCAAAAAAGTGTTTGGAAGTGCGCGAAAGCTAATATTCCCGTCAATGTACACGAATTTAGTGCTATGTACCGGGCCGAATCCCTTAAGCCATAATCCGGCTGATTTAACCGTCACCCATGTTTGGGTGCACTCTGCAGCGGTTACTCAACCATATGATGTTGATTACTATTACCTGTTCAGTGTACACCTTTAGAGCAGAATGCTATGACTCGCTGCAGTTTCCGTTTTTCCGCGTAAATTAAAGCAGTTTCCTTTACATGTGGCCTCGTGCAAGGTGTACTTTATGCAGCATCTACGCACGACGCAACTTTATGCAGCATCTACGCACGACGCAGGTACAGCATGCCAAAAGGCAGCACACTCCCTGATATGTCGTAATTCATTGGCAATTACCGTATTATGATGGCGTAATAATCCTAGCGAAGCATTGACCCGATATGTTATGATAAAGGCGTTATTTTTCCATTACATCGAAAGGGTTTCACGAGAATACTTCAATGTTCGTAGTTATCCAACCATTTCCCCGGAAGGAATTAATACACGCTCCGGAATTTCGTCAGCGTTTCACGTATTGCACAGTGTTTAGTAGTTAAAGGGTAGTATGGTACAAAGTTGTTGGTTTTGGAAAACAGATTTTCAGAGTTGGGTATGTAGAGATAGTATGTAGAATCTACATGCAGTGCTGTATCAGATAATAATATATCGACTGGTACTCTCGGCACAGAACAGTTCACCTCCAAACAATTTAGGCACCAGTGGCAATGCAAGCGCTGGCCAAGAGTTCGATAGCTGTTAAAAAAACCAAAGCCTTTCTCTTCGCTCGGCTTCCAAGGCAAGATACGCACAGTGCCCTTCTCATGCCCTGCAAAACTGCTGCTGGACAAAAACCTTGCTTGAGATGATTGAGAGAAGCAGCAGAAATACTCTAGTCAAATCGTGAATTGTTCTTCCCATGAAATATAATAATTTATTTGAAGGGCTCAAGGGTTGTTATTCCGTTAATTACATACTATTCAATCAGCTGATATTCCATTGCCTCCGGAAATAACAGCTGTTTTTCACAGAAGTGGTTCCCATTTTCGATCATGGATGAACGTAGTTAGGAGAGGCTTGATTTCTAAACGACTAGAGTCAGTGTCATGCACACCCATTGTCAGTAAATCCATGCAAATATAAAGGTCGGAGAAGCCTTGCTCTCGGTAGAGTCGCTGCCTGCATGTGCTCAATTCAGTCAATTGTGTAGCAACCGTTGGTTTAGTTTGAGATTAGCAAATCTGTGGACTACCAACCAAGTACTGCCATGAATGCCGCTAACGCTAGTATTCTACTGCTCAACAATACCAAGTACGTGGCGATACTTTCGACGGAAGCGGTGACCCCTTGGACTGTCAAATACTTAATTCTGAGCTACGGTGGCGCCGCTTTCAATAGCCTTGTTGCCGGCATAATCCTCGCTAACGCCCGGCTGCGCGCCGGTTACGGACTCCTCATCGGACACTATCTAGGCACGCATGGCGCGCTGTGTTTTATCAGCTATCCGGCCTTGGCCGCCATGATCTACCAGAAACTGCTGCTGCATTGGGATTCGGACCTAACGATGGAACAACCTCGTCCTACATAACCGCATTGATGTTTCCAATGCGGTTAACGTTGGCAGATTTGGAATCATTGGAACATACAGAATTTGTTAATAAAAACGATAATTCGAGCAGTTTATTTAGTTATCATCATGAACGTCACTAACGTTAGTTTTACCATTCTGTCCAACACCACAACCCTTTCAACAGTTCTGACGACAGAGGCGCTATCAAAATGGGCCTTTGTGTACCTGGCCTTATGCTATCTGGGTGGCGTCTCCAACAGTCTGGTGGCGGGATTGATTCTGACCAACGCTCGCCTCCGCACCGGCTGCGGATTACTAATTGGGCACTACATCTTTTCCCATGCCGCACTATGTCTCCTGAGCTATCCTTTTACGGCCATAATGGTGTACGAAAAAGCAGCTAAACACCAGGACTTTGAGGCGCGCTATTGCAGTCTTCTACTATGGATGCAGATGACCATTCGTTACTCCGGCAACTGGATTGAAAGCTATGTCGCCATCAACCGCGTCGTCGCTCTATGTTTCCCTTACCAATACCGGCGTTTTGCCAGTCATCGTTTAGAGCGATTAATCTTAGCGGTGGTATGGATCACAGCGGGATGTCTGGCGTGCCTGGGGTGCTTTAACCTGGGCGTGGCTTATACTAAATCTCCGCTGGGTAATTGCGGAATCATTCAGAAAGATGGGTTCGGTTTGTTAACCTTTGTGGTGGGCTACTACGGTCCACTGGCCGTGGCGGCCGCTGGCTACGCGTTAATTTATCTCAAGTTACTGGTAGATCGACGAAAACGAACGAAGGTCGTGGCGGAGAATTCGCGTGATGGAGAGCGAGCGCCGGAACGCAAGCGGGTGATCAAGGCGAACATGTTGTGTGTTTTCTTTCTGTGGAATAGCGTGTGTTATTTGATTTGGCCGATAATTATCACGGTGTGGCCGGAATTACTGCGGCAACATCCGCTGCTGGGCATCTGGTTGGGATCGGTGCAGATGGTCGGTTACGTCACAAGTCCGGTACGAGTACCGGGAATAATATTTTTCATAACTTATTTCAACGACACAACGTATTACAGAAGTGAAAAGCAAATGCTAACAAATGCGCTATTGGTCGTTGTTTGCAATAAGCTTCTGATATATGTACAACTGTTTCAGCTGATTTTCTTCGTCATGAGTGCGGAGTCGAGAAGAATTTCTTCGGATGTGTAATTTATTATGGAGAAAGTGCGGACGGCGTGATAGGGCAACCTCGGCGAGAAACTTCAACGCGGCAGGAGGGAACCGCCGGTCATGGTTTACCGCCAGCAACAATGATGGAAGCAGTACACAGTGAACGGCCGAGCCAGATGAAGCACCACACCGTCAACCTTTAATCAATATAAACTCCCAATACATAACTCATAACTGAAGCACTTTCTGCGTCAACAACCAAAAGATTTTTATTAAATTTTTTTTGACGAAATTGTGCACCAGTAAATTCTGGGCAGCATTGCGGTCAAAACTCGGAAAGAGCAATCCGTTGCCCGTTTGCTGCATGGCCAAAAAAATCAATCGATAACCTGCATTTTAAAACTTTACTCAATAATTCATCATTCCCTGCTGACAGATTTAAATAAATGAGCGCCGTTAGCTTCTAAAAGTTACTAAATTTATTGCCATTCCATATTGATCACTTCGCAATACAGAATGACACCCTCACAGTAGAGAATGCCATATACGCGAAAGGCAGAAAATACACGGTGCGTTCACCCCCGGTGACCAGCCGCACCGGCACCCCATGGAGTATCAAAACCTCCATCATCCCACCATCCACGCTGAGAATTCCGGATAATCGGTCGCGCCAGCTGGTGATGCTGACCAGGATGTGGGCCTACTCTTCCGTCTCCAACGTAGAAAAAAATTCATTCAATTTATGACTAGATAATCACGCACACAACCGGTGTTATTGTATCGTTCTACCACCAATCACCATTCAACATATAAGTTATTATAGTGGAACGAAATCATCGTTACAGTAGAAAGCAAACAGGAAGCTCGATGATTTTTACGACAGCGCAGTGCATACATAGCGTTCCAGTCACGTATTCTTTAGGAAGAAAAGGCACTGGTGCTTACGGTTTAATACTGTGTAATTTTTTTACACAAATAAAATTACCGTTAAATTTTCCGACGCCCAGTTCTGGAACGGAAACACTTTGTACTTGTTGATCTCCACTGAAAGCAGTTAGGAAAATAAGAAAACCAAATAATAATCGACGTGGTACCATGGTTGGCCTTAGCAGGTAGCCAACAATATTGTTAATCCAAAGAACGAAAAAATGCAGACCGTGCACCAAGTAGAAAATGTCGAAAACCCTTTTCAGCAACATTCAGTTACGAAATGCGTTTGCCGGTGATGCAACTTTGCGGTCGGATTTACTAGAAAATATGAGTTTCGTAAATTATACAAATAAGGCACTGCGAAATTTCATGTGCGCATACACCATAGAAATAAAATAAATATCAATGGAACTCCATAAAACAAGAACAAACACGGCATCGTTTTATCCACATACCTAAATATGTGCCATTTAGCTTTATTTACATAATTAAACCAAGGAGCATTACTTTTTATGAGTGCACGTCCGATTCCTGTATTACGTATTTATGCAATGGAAAGTTTTGTTGACTGAATTGAGTCATCGACAATTTCGATAGTGCAATCGCTGCATTTTAGTGTAGTTTTAGCCGTTTCCCAGCAATATAAATGGGATAACGTGACAGATTTATCCTGCAATAAGGGCAGTGATGCAACATAGAATGATTTTTCGGCGCCACTGCTGGACAGAGGCGCTATTTACAGTGATTTACACCCCGTAAACCGCTTTTCCGCTGCAACAGTGCAACCACACGATTCGAGAAGAAGGTCCGCGTGACACACTAGACAAAAACGGAAACGTTTAGTGTTCGCTTTCTCGATCGTTTCAGCCTTTTAATAAACAGGAATATGGGTAACGGTTAAACGCTTAAACACTACCCCAAAACTCTAAACAAGCATTCTAACCAAGCACTCTAAGCAAGCTGAATTTGGACGTAATCGTCCAAACCATATGCATCAAGTTTTTGGTCTCAGCATAAATATTTTCTTGATTATTCACACTTATATAAAAATGGTAGAAACCATGATTTGCAAGTTAGGCAGCCTTTATTTTTCTTTCGAACTGTCGAACCAGCTGACAAAAATTTCAATGGTAAAGCCAACACCCTCCGCAAACTTTGGTAACATGATGAAAGCTTTACTTTACAGCTTTCGTAGAAAATCCGTAATTGTGCCAAATGTGTCGTATTACACTGATTTACACGTATAGACTGTCGTATGCGTGCGCTTTACTTAATTGAACCCCTTGGGTGCGTTTTAAACAACAAGTCACGGACAGGGCATATATTTCCATATTATGATTGCGGTGCATGGCAAGCGTAATCAGCATGTCAGATTGTAGCAACCAGTATTGTAGGAAAATTCACTGCCGGCTAGAAAATTCGTCGGCGTTAAATCACGCTGACAGTCGACACTAAGAAATTCTGGATACCCCATGGCGCGACCATCAACAATATCCGAAGCGTAACTGCCGACGATAAAAACTTCTCCACGATCTTTTTCTGTCGTGAGATATGGATGAGTCTTGAAGAAGTTTCGTAGCCACGCAAAGGAGCAGTCACAATGCAGCCGGTATACTTCCTCCAACTCATAATACTTCCAATTTGGTGGAAGAGGCAGAGCAACTTCTTCATTCATCTTATCCCGCTCTTCGTGGTGCACCATATCCACACTGACATAGCTCTCCAAAACCAGGCTGTGCAGATGCACCAGTGTTGTGAAAGTGTACGGCTCGAGAAACTGTATACTCGACAAGCGAAGGACAATTTGGCGCACGCGGGGCATCCGCTGAAAATCCCGCTTGCGGACGATCAATCCCGAGCAATGATTAATTTGAAGGCCCAGCAGATTTATCAGGTCGCCAAGGCGGTGAATTTTAACCGTCGTATAGGGCGTGGCACAACTGCCCACGCTCAAACTGATTATCTGCTGACGAATGGGTTCCACGACACTGGCTTGCAGTGTGTCTTCTGTGCCGTTTCCGTCGGAAAGGGAAAGGACGACGGCGCGCCGAGGACTTATGCGGCTGATGTTTGCAGCTGCTGCGGCTACCAAACGGCTTTCTTCGCATGCCACCTCAAGATATGTTTCGAAAGGATCATAGTCCGGGGTCGCTGGGGCGGTACAGTAGGATAGTTCTAGAGAATGGACAGGACTACAATAATAATCATGTAGCATGACATACTGGATACATTCCGCCGCGGTCAGTCGGTCGAGACGGAACCCACCGCCCGGGAGGTATAGTTCGGGTGCGATGGCAATTTGCTGTTCGTCAGTGCGCTCTTGTTTAGTGCATTCGGTTTCAAATCTTCCTTCCAGAGCTAAACCAAAGTACCAAGCGTACATTAATGAATGTAATTACGAGTATTTTACAATAAGAACGGAATAATTTGAGTGCCACCTTTGTTTTTTCAGTAGATGTTCGGTTACCTGATAAATACATGGGAAAGCATGCCAGAAAAACCCACACAGAATACGGACTCAAGGAATACCTGCTAAGAATACACATTATCTTCCACTCGCAGTTCAATACTTCAAACAAGAAGTGCTCCTGTATACAAATCCGCACAGCTGAAGGATTATTCACTGCAGTATTGTGCAGCGCCGATGATATTCTTACCGTCTAGACTTAGAGACAATGCCTTGAGGCATAAAGAGCGTGGTAGAAATATGGTAAATAAGACCCGCATAATGCCGTAATACTGGTGACTGTGCTTCACCGTGGCATGTGATTTCGTTCCCAACACATGAAGGTTCCGTGCAAGTCTTTTCAATCTTTTGACATTTCCCGTTATTCCGAATGCCGGTATATGTATTCATTACGACGCTTCTGTACGTAAGAGTAGGATATTCTGTCTTTGCGTTGTTTCCAACGTCGGCGGTGCTAATACCGTGCATGAAAACCCTCGAGGAATGAGACCTATGGATTCCATGAAAAATATTAATTTTAGTCAGCGAGTAAGACCGGTATGCGCTATGCATTTCCATTACACGTGACACTGTGACTAGATTAATATCTTAATGGCATGCTGTTCAGTTAGTCCCAGCAGCCCTTATGCTACTCGTTATTTTTCTGCAGCCAGCGCTCAATGCTTAGAACTTAAAACAATATTATTGCTCCAAGGTGCAGTATTTGTTTGGGTTTAGTGACAGACCGTGCAAATACTGTTGGCCTAAAAGGATATATGTACCCGGGTGGCTGAACAAAATGGCGGGCTCCGTTTATAACTTGCTCCTCGCAAACCGCCTGCCCCACCGTAAACTATTTAGACTAGTTAAATAGACAATTTTATTGGCTACTAGAAACAACAAAACATTTGTTAAAAAATTAAATCATTCTTGTTTTAAATGGTTCCAGTCAAAGTCATGTCAAAAATTATTCTGGCCAGCTCGCAAAACTTGGAATATCATGGCATTTCTTTTCCGTACGGACTTTTTTGATATTATTTTATTGTTTTGTCTGGAAAACTACATCTTCTTTCATTAGTAAAAATGCTCTGTACCTGCCGCATGCGCTGGACGAGTTATTCACCAGCGCACTTTTTGATTTTCCCAAAAATTGCCGATCTTTTATTTGATTTGCGTAAGCAGTTTTGGTTGAAATTTTCGGCTGGATGACAGGTTGCACCAAAAGATGTCGGTTTCGATTTTATATGTGACTAACACATTGTCCTTGCAGAAATAAGATTAAAGCAACCTTTAAAACGGTGGTCAGAAATTCGCTTTCGAAAACTCTGCTTGCCGATTTCACGAAATTATTCGTACCGACTTTCAGTTATTTCCAATACTGGCCAAAGACGGGTGCTAGAATTTTCCTGTTCCCAACAGCAAAAAAAACTCGAAACAACACCTGTATTCGAAATAGCAACGTGAGCTACATGAATGTCCTTAACTGTTCAGAACAGTAGCAAATTTTTGTTTAAAAAAGGGATGAAATCGAATTTTCGTTTCTGGCCAACCGTCAAACCCACCTAGCTTTCCAAAACAATTCATAAAAAAGTCGAACCTTTGTTTATTGTCGGTTTAATTTAACTTTCATATGCTAAAAACATTGCTCTTTCGGTTGAGACTAGAACGATGTCAGTCAGACATCGGACGGACCCAGCGCACTCTGGTAAAACAGACCGCCATTTTGTTCAGCCACCCGGATAAAGGATATTATAGGTACGAGTACTGTAGATGTGTGTGCAATACGAACATGATTAAGTATTTCCTTCCGGAAGACCGTTAGAAGACTAAGATCAGTAAACCAGCTGGATACAGCTGTGACGGCAAGTTTACGAACACTTTGGTCACACACTGCGCCCAGTGCTTGCAGGTAAAAGTTGGCGCTAACGTAGTAAAAGGTCTGAGCTCGGGGTCTTCTTCGCTGAGCAATTGAGAGACAATTTTACACGCGCTCTCGTTAATGCTTTTGCTACCCCGTTTAAGAGAAGCAGGTATTCTTTGGGTTAGTTTCATAGCGATATGGAGTTTACTATCAGATGTAACTGGTTGGTTTACTAACTTTACTTATAAGACTTAACACTGTTTATGGTTTCGCGAACAGGTCAACAACGCGTTTCATTAATCAGGGAACACACCATTAAACCTAAACCGATTGCCAGTAAAGTATTGCTTTTAGGGCTCAAAAGCGAAAACATGCAACATCGTTTAACACGTCACATTGTAGCAGCCAGTATTGTAGGAAAATTCCGCCCCGGTCTGTAAATTATCCAGCGTGAAATTCCGTTTACAATCTACGCTGAGACTGTCTGAATAATTACTGGCACGGCCGCTTGTATCTGGCGATACGTAGCTCGCCACACTGAAGACATCTTTTTTCCCTTTCGATGACGTGAGATACGCATGGGTCTTGAGAAAATTCCTGAGCCAGGCGAAAGAACAATGGCAGTGCAATCGCCGCACTTCTTCCTCATCCATAGACGGTTTCACGTTTTTCATAAAGTAATGAAGATCTGTCCAATACCAGCTGATGCCGCTTTCCAGCACTAAACTGCGCAGGTGCGGTAATGTGGTGAAGGTATACGGCTCCAGGAAGCGCATGCTTGCAGATTGGAAGAGAATTTGTCGTATACGCGGCATCTGATGAATCCTGCTTGTGGACGATCAATCCCAAGGAAGAGCTTATCTGGAGTTGCAGTAGATTAACTAAATCGCCCAAGCGGTAGATCCTGGCAATGGTATAGGGCGTGGCCGAGCCGTCCACGTCCAGGGCGATTGACTGCTGCCGAATGGGTCCAAGGACACTGGCTTGCAATGTATCCATGGTGCCGTTGCCGTCACCGAGCGCCAGGATGACAGCACGTCTAAGGCTTATGTTGCCAATATTGGATACAGCCGCAGCTATTATGCTGCTTTCGTCGGCCATGCAGTTCAGCTGAAGAACCGTATTGTAGGTCACAGGGTAGTCCGGGACTTTGGGCGCTCCGCAGTCAGCCCGAGAAAAATGCCACATGGGAAAGAACATACTCGTACATCCGATTCTCCGCGTGGCGAACTGCCTGCATTCCGAAGAGGTTATCGGGTCGGTGCGGAAACCGCCCGGGATATATGGTTCGGGAGCGATAGCGATCGGTTCGGCACTTCGCTCTTGGGTAGTGCAATCGGTTTCCAGCCTTTCGTTTAGACCTATAATATTCAAAAAAAGTTGTTGAGGTAGATGTACTGTGAACTGCAGTTGATACCTGAAAAAGATCCCTCAGAATTAAAGATCACAGCTGTTGGGCAGGTATTCGCTAGCCGATGTAGTCGTGGTGGAGCAAACCAGGAGAACACAATTCAGCGTAGACATTTAAGGATTTTGCATTTTACTTCGCGAGAGTCGAACAATTACAGTGTACGCATTCTTACGACTCCACCAACATGCAGACTTAGCTTCAGTGCCTACAGAAACGCTGCTCAAAACAATAATTTTGCATGCAGCAGCTTATACTTTAGTTCTTTAAGCAAGAGAAACTGTGAAATCCTGCAGTATTGACCAAGCAAATGCACCAGAACGAACGTTTGGCAATTTGTAGGATAGCGAAATTTCTGATTTTGGTAAAAATATTCTCACCGTCGAAAATATGCCCTCGAGGTATACATGCTGGCGCATTCAGAACATGTAAACTGAACATCTGTGAGTCATTCAAGCAGGAATCTTGGAACTGACATGATATTTTATTATAGTGTCTTACACCTGGTGATGCGCGGGTCGTTTAACGACCCGCGCATCACCAGGTGTTTGAGAGTGTATAGTCTGAGATTTTGCACGAGTGCATCAGAGAATACAGAAATCGGACCTAGGCGCGTCCGCTTAGCAATAACGTTGTTGATTCGCGCAGTCTGATCCGGCTAGCGGCACTATTCGATTGAAACGCAACGGTAGCAATACTGTTATAGCAAATAAATTTTCCGTATAGTGCAATGAGAAACAGTACAAAAATCTGCAATACTCGTACAAAAAAACGCATGTGAGAGCTGTCTTACGTTGCATCTCTTGGTTTAACACTTCTCGTATTTTGGTTTTCAATTGCATAGAATATTACTGTAGGCTTGTCAGGCCAACCAATCGAATGTGGTAGACACGCGTCACAAAGTCGTTTAAACAGGCTCGAAGATCGCTCGCGCCCTAATTAACTGTGCAGCGGAAACTCAAACAGCTATGATTCAGCTAATCCCAGTATCACCTTGCCAAAACAAAACCTGATTTCTTGTATTTGCTCGACCCAAACTAAAATACCTAGTATTTATGTACAATAAAATGAAAAAGCTAAAAAAACTTCAGGATACCTGTTTTATTCACATTAGGTTCGAGGATCTCAACTGCTGCACTGTAGCGTTTGATATGTCGCTGCATAACATACTGTAGCAGTATAGCTGGCTGTTATTCCAATGAAACCAGAGGTCGACCTAGGAAATGAAGTTTCAAAATTTGAAAACATGTTATAGAAATCTCCTATCGTTTCCAAACGGAGCTTTGCGAATGAGATCGCAAACATAAGAAGAAACAGTTGTAAACGAAAAAAATTAATTTCGCGCAGCCAACACAGAATTCGGTTTGCACTGCCAACCGGGCGGGCGCGATAAATATGGACACTTTTTTCGTCGAATTTTGCCTAAAAGCGTGTTTGTGTTAAAACCGGTACAGTTTCCTGTCAGACTTTTTTATGAACTTGATTTATGTTAAATATGGGAGAGAAAACATTTCTGCATAACTTATACTGTGAAAGTTTTGAAAAACTAAAATTCGTTGAAGGGCTATAGACGAATTTCTAACCACTTCCGGCAAAATAGGCCTTAAAGGCCGGGTCGATTTCTCTTTTCCTAAAGCCTCCTCTGAAAAACTGTAAGAGCAGTTTTGAAGAACCAAAAATCCTCGAGGAATTCAGGGGTGGCAGAGACCTATATCTCTAAAGTGGAATTTTTGGCGAATTTCTTAATTAGTCTGAAGCCCGCGCCGACCGACCCCGTACGAGTAGTATTAAGAAAAAATCGCCGAATATTGTTTCGTCCACGATCAGAATCCGAGGTCTGCTCAAAATATAAAAGTTGTTGTGTGATCCAGTCACATAAACATTTTTATGTTACTTTCCACTTACACTAACAGTTCCAACGGGGTTTGAAGAATTGTTGCAGTCAACGGTAAAACTATATGACCCTTGATCTAACCCTGGCTTTCGTAAGTTGACGTTTAGTATCCCAATAAAAACATCTGTGCCGCACACCTGTCTCTCAACAAACCGAATTATTGAAAAAGCTGAAACCCCCACGGACAACTCGCGATAGTCAGTTTTTCGTGAAATTTTCCTTACCGACTGATTAGTTACTTGCCCGGCAACTCGCAAGTGAACCGTATGATCGGTTGGGGCCGACAGCGGACGGGCAAGAGTTATGGTACCCCTTGAAAATGCAGAAACGGTTTATTTTGGTTAAGTTCAGATTTCACTACTGCAATGTATTACTGGTCCGAAATGTTGAAATAGCCGGTAGCAGACGCGTCATTAATTTGAAACCGGAACCCGGGCGATGGCTGCAGCAAAAGAGACCTTTATTTAGTTACCTACTCCGTATTTTAAGGGTTATGCTACCATGAATGATCTATAAAAGGCGCTCTGTAGGCGATGTATTTTATGGTTGAAAATACTTTTCCTGTAGCTGTAATGGAGCAAACAACGTCCTATTACAATAATTTTGAATTTCGATAATTAACAAAATATTGCTAAGTGGGGTGTTTTTGAGCAACGTACAATGGACGGAAGATTGGTTACCACGGTACCAACAGGTGTATCTTCATTGATAATAATGGAAACCGTTTCCACACTACACGGCGGGAGTTCCGGAACAATCAACGGTGGATCGCTGGTGCCCGTGCTCGGTGGCATGGAAGTAGTTCGCTCGAAATTTAGCGCGTTGCATAGCACGGAAATCACCAACTGCTGCGATGTGGTTAACAGACCGCCTCCTCCGTAATTTACTGGTATTATGTACACTCCAAGCATACTTTGGTCTATTGGTCGGGAGAGAACTATTGTGACGTTGCACTGAAAATCCGGATCGCAGACTACCGGAAGTACAGGTTGGAAAATTCTGTAATGTATAATTATTGCATAATTATTCGCGACTGGTGGCATATCTGTACTTCGATCTGTCTCTTATTTCGCTCGCTTTAGGCGTACGGTTTCATACTGCGCTCACTGGTCACAGGCGCAACCGCCATGGGGCGCGCAACTTGAATAAATGCAAACTTATCAACATTTTACTGTTTTTTGCCTTGTTTGTCATTATCCTAGTTCAGTTTTCAATGTTGAATTTCTTCGCGGTAAGCCTCTAAGACTGTCATGGATTCGGCCGCCATTGACGACATTCGTCAAGGCATCTTCAGTATCTTGTCTGTGCGGAGTTTTCTTGGTTCTGGTTCAGAACGAGGTGGACTATGTACTTATGCTCTGGTCTATAAATTCAATCCGACAGAACCATTAATGTCCTAACATGGCCATTTCATGACGCATAAAGATCTGTCTCCGTTTAAAGCGACATGAAAAGATGTCGAAATTTGAGATTTGTGAGCATGTTGACCCGTCAGTATTTAGTCATGTAGCGGGCCACATGGCGTTTGCGCCGGTAACCGTAAGCGAAATATGAAATCATACACTTAAAGCCAGCGAAAATACATAAGAGACAAATCGAAGTAAATCGTTGAAGCTTAGTGTCACCTGCTTGAGATTGTCATTCGCAGTTTCGAGAAATCCACATTGGGGCTGAATTTCGCGAGGAATGATCCTACGACTGTAGGGGCACTAGACCCTGCCTGACATCCATCTACACTACAAATTAATTAAAGCATTTAACGGAATACGTTCTGTAAATCAGTGGCGTACGACTATTGTGGAGAATCATTACTACGACACTATAAATTTAAAAAAATAATAATTTTTAATTCATTTGATTAAAAAATTTGCCTAGTGGGAAACCTACGTAAACGACGCATCGGGAATGGCGACCAATGACGGTGCACGCTTTAACGCCAGTGATACATTCGGATACAGCAAATCCGGAGCCGGCGTTGTCGGCGCCTGGACAGGTTTAATCTGACAGGATTGAACGTACTGCCATGGGGAATAGATGGCAATGGCCAGGATTCCCTCCACTACGCTACCAGCCACATCGCGGCCTTGGATACTGACAAATTCCCGGGTGGTGCTGCGGGGTGGACAATAGCCACTGGTCAGTGTCAGGTCTGCCGTTCGCGGGTCCAACACAACGAAAGGATTCCCACCTGGTGCAAGAGTAGCCTGGCTCCAGCCCGAGGCATTGAATTTTCCAAATACGGTGGATGTGCCAGAGTAATATGGAACGAAGAATGACCACACCGGTGGAGAACTGAGAAGTCCGTCCGAAACTAATTTTTCAATATCTGCAAAATGATGTGAGGATGTGCGGTCAGTTTACAATTCACAAACGGCATGATCCCATACAGGACCCAAGTAAATATTATAGCAATCACCTACCGTAATTATCGAATTTGCGCCGCACCCATAATAAGCCCCCTTTTCTCGACCGGTTTCGAAAAATAAGGACTCCCCCGAAATCACCACTCGCAGGGGCATTAAAAAACGTCAAGCGCCACAAGATGATAGGAATACCGCAAATTCCTTCATAATATTTTTACGATTTAATGGGAAACCGTAAGCGGACATAAAAAAATGTGGTGTTCGTTGGCAAGCAGCCGTAGATAATGTTACAGGATGCTACTCTCCATGTGGTGCTACTGCAAATACCGGTAACCAAGGCATTTAGTTTCAGTGGAACAGAATACGGAGTTGTTTGAAACATAACGGCCCTCTCCGAAAAATACTGTTCGAAAATTAGCACCCCCCTGAAATAGAGCCTCCTCTTAGAAATAAGTACCCTTTCCTCCGGGGGACGTTTGAACTTTTACACCCCAGGTTTGCAATTTCGATAATTACGGTACATTCATTCCAAACGTGATAAGCCAAGAGTCAGTTGTTATGAGTTTTAAATAAGCAGAAGCGACCGAATATAGGAAACCGAAACATATTATTAAAAATTTTTGTAACACAATTACAAGTTTTTGAGTCCATAGTTGTTTCTAGCCAACTGCGGATTATAACTTACAAATTTGTAGGTGCAAATAGTTAATACTGTAAGTAAGTATAATTGTTAATACAAATATTTCTTTCTAAAATCAAATGGTTAATCAAATCCCAAATTGTAATACGGTAAGACATATGTCACAAAATAATTTTCAAAGCCGCACTGGAACCAGCCAGCAGAAATAAGCAAAATTAAAAATACAATTGCCTTTCTAAATGCTTTAACTGCAGTTTCCATTGCCTAACTCGATGAAGCTCCAGTTCATTCAAATACCTTGATTGTCCAAAGTGGAACATGCAAAAAGAACGCATAACGGCGCAAAAATTCGTTTTACTCTGTGTATCTGTACTTCGCCTTGCATTTGATGAAATAGGAACCCCAAGGTTTATGATTTCGATCCAGTAAAAAAGCGTTGCACCGCACAAGGGACAGAAGTTTTAATAATAATATAACACCGCTACTACCACACTTAGCCAGGGAGCGGAACTGCTCGTAGTTGATTTAGTCAAATACGAGCACACGAAGCAAATGTTGTGCCATGCGAACAGTGCGAAGACACAAATCTGTTAACACACTGCGACTCCAACAACGCTCGTACCGTGTAAGATGACCCTCAAGGCATATAGACACATATTACGGACTCCATGAATAATTGTTCGGCAAACGAGTTAATACCGTATGCAGTTGCCTTCCTTGTTGCAGTGTGGCTTTAATTCATGACACATGAGTAAGGAAAGAATTTACCTGCATCAACCGTAACTATTAATAAATCATCCAATTTAAAATCGCTTTCCCAGTCGTAATCGCTTTCATATTGAAGGTGGCTAGACAGCCGCTGCTGCGATTCTCTTCTAACCACGACACATAACTGCCGTGCCTGGAAAAGCGGTACAAATAAAGCGAATCAGTCTCCCGCGCGCTGTTGTGATGTCGCTCAACGATGCAACGATGCACGAGACGTCCGGCAAATCAAAATCATCAGCAGATCATCAGCCGCATTAAGACCCATTCGTATCTCCCGACAGAGAAATACGATTTAGACGTCTTCATTATACATCAAGCTCTGTTCAAACATGCAGTTCAGCCAACGTACGTGTCGAGAGGTGAAATGTCGTCTGAAAGCGGCTAAACTGTCAGCGTAAGGGTCCAGTTGGAACTAAAGAAATCGAAAACAATTCTCGAAGGATAAAATTTTCAACGGGCGGTTCGGTCGGTTACCAGCAAAGTCTTGGAAAATGTCATGTTTGTAGCGGCGGTAAAATACCTTTATTATTATCCGCTCGCTGGCCGAACGTAAACCGACTAAATAGACTTAACGTAACAACCTTGGTACTCCCATTACCAGCTCCTACGGCACAATGGACACCGAACAATATTCACATTCACGAGAACACACATCGCTGCACTTGTACGTGCGTGTACTTCCTACTTACATGTATACACTACAGAAAACATTTCGCAAATCTCTCGATCACCGGGGACACCACAATTACCCTAGGTCATGAGTACATGTTCTGTATAAAGGCAACGGTGCCATTAATTCTGAATATGGAAGATCTTCGCTACGGTTCGGTCGACTGTTCGGTAATGATGTCCACTGCGAACTTTTTAAAATATTTTTCTGCTAAGTTTTTAAAATATTTTTCTGGGACGTGTTGTCGAACGTATCGGTACTTGACACTTTTTTTAGAAATACCAGATTTCTGTTGCCATGTTCTGTGCACAATTTCTGCGCTTTTTTTCATATTTTTTATTAGCTGTCAGCAAATGCTTTAGCAAAATTTAAGCTGAGTTTCTACTCGTCTGCACCCCTCTTGCGAGAAAAAACACCACTGCGGGCTCGTAAACAGTTCTATAATGTACGTTACTGCTATCGGTGCTCAAAACATTGAACTTTACCGATTAAAACTCAAAATGTGCGCGCAATAACCGGCTGTTGCGTTATCACCGGCAAAAGTTTAAAAACTCAGTCGCGTCAAATAATTCACCTATCTATCCGACTCCGACCAAATTTACCATTATGGTAAATCTATATCTAAAGAACATTCTGAATCATTATGGTGATGATATCTTAAAAAACAAAGATGCAATGAATTTTTGAAAATTTTAAACTCTTATAACTTAGTCATTTTAGATCTGACCAGCTTCATTTTGGTTCAGAATGTGTATTGGAATTTACTCCATGTGATTGAATGATCAAACTTGAAATAGGATACAACACCGAATTATTTGCCCCACATTTGTTGTTTTGGGAAAATGAAGTTTTTGTGAACGGTATAGACAAGGCTGGACAGCTGGCCTATTCTTGGTGCGATTGCTGCGCTTCCTGTTGTGTCCCGGCCTGATCGGGCCACGTATTGTTTCAGCTGAGCAGGAATGACTCTCTGACACTCAAGGGCTAAGTGGTGAATGGAGATGGAGATGAGAACAGGGCAATAAATTTCATTGTTCTTCCTGACCATTTATGATAGCGCGCATATCTTCTCATTCTTCTGTTCTTATACAAACATTTGCTGCCGCTGATGATTTCGTGGCTTGTGGTCAAGCAAACTTGTCATCCCCCCAGAACAGAGATATCTCCTCTTCTGCGTAGTATTAGAACCTTCTAAAAGATTTCTGCTCTATGATAGTTTTTAAAATAGGTAACTGTGCGCAAGTTTTTCATAAAAGCTTGATTCACATCAGTAGATAGAGAAATGAATTCTTTATCGATTCCTGTATAAATTAAAATGGTGTAATTTGAGTGGAAATTCACCTTAAGGCGCATCGTGCAGCACAGTGCATGGAATGCCAACATTTCGAAAAGCGACGCCATTTTATGTTCCGCATTATCCGCAATCGTGCTTTGGGTCGGACGTGGTGTACTTTGTCCGCGCAATCCTCTCAGCTAATGTATGGTGTTATCGCCAGTGCAGCTAATGTGCACGAGTGCAGAATTTACTAGGTTTGTGCCGGGGTTCTCAACAAACACCTGCAGATACGCATGTCATTGTACACTGTAAGGGGTACAAAACGTAGAGCTATGAGTGCCCGCTTACCAATAACGTTGTTGATTGGCGCAGTGTGCCCGTCAGTCGAATAGTGCCGCTCGCCGGATCAACTGTAGCAATACTGTAAAGCAAGGGGTATACTCCAACTGAAACTGATGGGAACGTCCATACTGGAGCAACTGGAGGTCCGAACTGACGAATTAAACCGGTTCATTTCATCAGTTTTACTGGGGCTCCGCCCCACCAGTTGGAGTATAGTAGATGCTTAAGATATAGATTGTTTTTCCCGATAATTCAATAAGAAATCGAACAAGGTACAGCCGTTACCAATTAAAGAAATTTAAGGACAAGTGAGGATTGTCTTACGCTGTATACTCCGGCTTAAGGAAAAATCGGCGGGTTTTGTTTCGCTCATGATCGGAATCATAGGCCTGCTCATATTTAAACGGTATTCGGTGCAGGCACTTGCATAAACATTTTCACATTATTTTAACACTCACGCTAACAGCTCCAATGGGGTTCGAGGGATTATTGCAGTCAGCGGCAAAACTGTATGACGCTTGATTAAGCTCTGGTTTTCGTAAGCTGACGTTTCTTATGCCAATAAGGACCTCCGTAGCGCACACCTATCAGCCAAACGAAATTATTTAAATACCCACGAACACCGTGCTGCTTGATTAGGTGGAGCTTCTTTGAATTTCCTTACCGGCTGGTTACTGACTTGCCCGGAAACTCGCAAGTGAACCGAATCAACAGTTCGTCTCGATAGCGGACTAGCAACTGATACTAAACCTCTAAAGCGCAGGAACGGTGTACCTTTGTTACGTTCAGATATTACGAACAAAATACATTACTTGTCTGAATTGGAACAGTAAAAAACACAAAAAATTCATAGGTTGCACAATTCTCCGAAAAAAGGCGCACCGCACCACCTTATTTACGCGTTACACCCGTACATTTTTCATGGTGGGTGCATATTAAGGGATTTGACCCGGTACATAGTAACAAATTTGGGCACATACACGGGAACTTTCGCTGTCGCGCACTCCTAAACACTTTTTTGCATTGCGTTATGACATTTTGTAGCCAAAGGATTTGCATACGTAGGCGTGATATCCGTTTGCGCGCGCAACTTCCGCTTCGAGAGTTATTAGTGAAATAAAATCCCAAAAGTTTAAACGCGCGGAGGTGTACCAAAAGTCTCATTATGATTTATGAACCGATGCTCTTCAAATTTTGCACGAAAGCGCACATTACTATGAAGGTCGTTTTGGTACCGAGCTATGTAGGTTTCCACCATTTTGTTCAAATTTTAAATTAATTTTTAAAATTTTTGAAATTCATTTTAAAATTTGAAAAAAATGGCATAAAGCTGGTTCGGTACCAAAACGGTCTTCACAGTAATGTGTGTTTTCGTGCGTAATTTGAAGAGCATCGGTTCATAATGAGACTTTTGGTACACCTCCGCGCGTTTAAACTTTTGGGATTTTATTTCACTAATAACTCCCGAACCGGATGTTGCGCGCGCAAACGGATTTCACGCCTACGTATGCAAATCCTTTGGCTACAAAATGTCATAACGCAATGCAAAAAAGTGCTTAGGAGTGCGCGACAGCGAAAGTTGCCGTGGATGTATACAAATTTGGTGCTATGTACCGGGCCAAATCCCTTAATTATTCCGAAACATTCGTATTTTCACAACTAATACGAGTACGAATCACCATAATCGTCCGATGAGCGGCAAAAAATGCGTCCGATGAAGAAAATTAACGTACTGCATATCATATCATTTGACTATAGGATGACTTAAAATTAAACAAGGAAAAAGGGATCGGCGTGCGCGAAAGCGAAAGTGTTCCTTTATGTGCATCAGTTTGGCATTTTGTGCCGGCAAAAGTCTTCTAATTTCATCGACGCCAAGGCTCATCTGCTTGTGTTTCATTGTAAAGCTTAATTTATGTATGCGTTTTTGCTTGAGGTAAAAGAAATGCAACGAAGGTCGAGTAAGAGCAAAGCCAGTAGAATATTCTACTGGCTTCGGTAAGAGCAGGCCCCAAATCAGCGAAATGTATGTCAGCTGCAGCGGTTACCGTGCTGCAAGTCAACCTGCTACTGCACTGACGCGGTGAATGCACTCGTAATTAACACTGTACCCTACCTGTGCCGTCGTTAAACAATTACAGCAGCGCGTTCAACCGCAAGCCGTATTCCAGCGGCGTGCGTTTGTAACCGGCAAAATCGTCCGGACGGATGAACCGTCCGCCGGACGCTTTTGCCTGTAAGCCGGCAAAACCTTCCGTCCCCGAATCTACAGTCCGGCAAAACCGTCCGCTCCCGAATTTACAGTCCGGGATGTTTACAAGATCGAACAGAGCAGAAAAAACTGGGTAGGCAAAATTCACGGCGGACGTTTTCTTGGACCGCCGGACGGTTTTGCCGGCTTACAGGCAAAAGCGTCCGGCGGACGGTTCATCCGTCCGGACGATTTTGCCGGTTACATTTTGCGTTC